TGTGATGTCACAAATCATGCTGGTAGGCCCCGCCCCTTAAAATCAGATTTTCAATGAGCACAGAGAAACTTTCCACTTTCAGCAGATGAATGTGAAAACATCCTTCTAGAGTCAAACTGCACGGACAGTATTCAAACAGCACACTGTAGGGACAAGATCATGATTTTTGATTGAAGGGGGACTTAGATATATATAGATATAAGCAATCCACATCTAGTTCATTTTTGTTCATCTGCCTGTTTGTTTTGGTTGTGTCTGTCCTTGGAATGTAAATGCTGTTATGCACAGGAATGGATGCATTTCATTTTGAGCTTGATGCAAGAAGAAAAACTGAGAAGACAGCATGAGAGGCCACCGTGGCAGTGTAAGGAAAGGAGCATCATCCACAATAAGAGACTTCACCAAACATGATATTATTGGCCAAACAACTGTTTGTTCAGCATTTGATCACAGGGGAGAGCTGTGCTCAGTGTGGAGTCACAAATAAATGAAAAACATGGATCTCAGGGGTTACTGCCCTAATGAAACTGTGCACAGAATATAACAAAAACAAGGCAGTTAGCCTGTCTTCACAAAACAGTATCCCGTGTCTACAATGAGGTAAATTATGACCTTCAAAAATATACTGTATGTGCCGTGGAATAGGAACAAGTGTGTTATTTAAAAAAAAAAAAAAAAACAGATACTCCTACTCTGTCCCATATAATCAATCTAGTGAAACAAAATTTGATTCCAAAGAAAAAGCCTCACAGTAATGGCTGAACAGAGCATGGACATCTGGAGGGCTGGTGTGGAAGAGAGCAAGCAAGGATATTTCTCTGGAAGGATGTGGGAGAGAGCGCTGTAATAGTTTGAAGTTAAGTTTATGCTTATGTAGCAGAGGGAGGAATGGAGGGGCTCAGCCAGACTCAGGCCTGGATCTGCTCCGGGTAAAAGTGGAGGGAGGGCCTTCGACATATAGAACATGCGCTCTCTTCCCCTCAGATTTCAGACCATCGAGCATGTTAAACTGCACTGAGGAGATGTGGACAGTAAGTTAGATCAGAGAGAGTAACATAATAGTTTATGGAGTATTTTTTTAAGTCCCACCTTTTTTTGCTCTGTGCTCCAATAGCAGTTGAGCAAACCTCGGTCAACTTTCTACTTTCCTGTACTTAGATATTGTATATGCTAGGCTCTTCTATGTAGAAACAATGACCACATTTTAAAGAAGCAACATATAGTCACATCTTAAGTTTGCTAATGTTAGCAAAACACTTAGTGAGCTAATATGCATCAGTTGTTAGTTTGCTATTTATCTAGTTAGCTAGCTTATCTAAATGAATCATTAGCTAGCTGGTTACATCTGATAGCTAAGACTATACTTTTAACACCTTATTGTCACTGTTAGAGTACAGTCTGTTAGAGTACAGTCAAATGTCTCATGTTTTAAGATGTTTCATGTTTTATGATGTTTTTATGTGAAGCAACAGACTGTAGCTCTGTGCCCAAGACAAATTTCCCCTCGCAGACAATAAAGTTTACTCTAATCTACTCTAATGTAACCAAACCATTGTTTCTGGCTAAAATGTTACAATATTTATGTCACTTTTGTCTTTTAACCATCTTGAAAATATGGTTGTCTTTTCAACACACAAAACAAAAGGGGCGGGGTCTTAGGAAGAGTTAATTGTTTTAAATATGTGAATTCTTCCTCTTGTAAATTGTATTGCGTGTCTCCATTTTTGTAGTTCACACATGCTGGCTATCTTACTGGTCACACGCTGGTGTTAACCTCTAGACTGAGGCTGTAATCTGTCACCACCCACAGATAGGGCGGTGTTACAGCTTGTTCTGCCTCCGGCTTGTGGCCAAAAATGTCAGTTTATGCGACTTTAATTTAAAGTTGACTTATTGCAACGTTGTTCACTGGACAGTGGTGGACAGAAACCTAGTACATCACAACAACTTAACTTACAGTATACAGTTTTGATGTACATGTTCTTTACTTGAGTGTTTCCATGTTCTGCTACTGTATCCCTCTAATCCCCAACATTACATTGCAATTTTTAACTGTTGCTATCAAATAAATGTAGTATTTTAGTCCAGATTTCTGACCTTCCTCTTAGGTCATCTGTAGGAGGCAGTTCGATGTGAACGTAATTCAGTACAGTTTGTTTCAAACTTTTTTTTAGAGGCATCAGCTGACAGTTTTGCAGTGTCACCAACAGCAGCAGGCTGGCTGTGATACTACTATGTTATATAATGACCAACAGTGAGTTTTAGATACGGATTGTGGACTCTCCCTTCAGGGAGCTTCAAAGTTTCATCCACTTTAACCACAGGGGTCACAGAGAAGTAAGTGGATTTGTCTCTCCCACCTCCCAAACTCACAAACCTCAGCCTCAGACTGAGCGCTCCTGACCTCCCTCACAGGCTTTTAGAGAGTGGATTTTAATACAAGATGGATAGATGGATGCTGCTCAGATGGATCTTCCCTGCCCTCTTGTGGCATGTAGACAGTAAATAATTGATACTGTCAGACTGTGTGAAAATGTTTTTTCCTAACTTTGAAACTACTTTTAAAGTACCAACTTCTGCATCTTTAAAATGCTGTGAACACTGAGATACAGTATTATTTATACAAATAAATAGTACTGTTATACAACTACATACATACCAAACAAATCCTCCAGGTGAGCATGCATGATTCATTTTGAGTTTTATATGGGCTCACACATTGGTCTGTTTGGTCTGGTCTCAAAAAGATTACATTACATTAGATTTTGACCTTTGAGCCTAATTTTGAGTATCTTATCATGCATCCAGGACACCAAATTGTTGTTGCAAACACAAAGTTAATTTGGAAAAGGTCACAACTATGTAGCTTCTGTGAAAAGGGTCCTGACTCCAATAGACAGACCCTAATGGACATAGTGTATAACTGGGAAGTCCAGTCAGAGAATTATAATGGGATATGTTGTTATTCCAAAAGTTCTTAGAAACAAATTTGCTCGTAATGTACAGTGTTTCTCAGGTAATAATGTTGAAATAGTTTTACTAATGAACAAAGATTACTGATGCAAATAAATCTTCAATAGCATCAGAAAGGTTTAATAAGTTTGACTGAGGATATTACTACTTATGTATTAAGTCAATCAGCCTGAGTGTGATAAAGATGTGTAGTTTTTCTTAATACTGTGTAAAGTATGTCTTTAAATTTTATTATGCTACTTCTATGTAGCAACAGACAGATTTTAGATTGTACAGACATTTTAGTTTATTTACCCTGCCCCAGTAATCACTGCAGATACATGTGTTAACTTGTTGAATTCAGTTATTTGTTAGGACATTACAAGCATTAAACGTGGTAGGGGGCCCACTGAGGCTGTATGGGGCCCAGATTATCTTTGTTCACACTACTGGTTTACATACACATACTGACAGGAATTCCAATGTATCTAAACAATCTAATGTGATTGAAATGATTTATATAACAATCATTAGTTTCTGACTTAAGATAAGATATTCCTTTATTTGTCCCACAATGGGGAAATTCCGAATACTTATTGTATCTCGGTGAGTTATTCACCTCTTAACAACGCTGCAGTGTCTAAATGTATTTGTAAAGAAATAATATATGCAGTACAACTGTAAACGTCACTACCATTATTGTATCAAGTGTGACAACTTCTGCTTTTTAAATAATCTTTTGTTGGACATATATATGTATTTGTTACAGTATATTCAGTTTGACTCCCTGCTCAATTGAGCTCAGCCGTTTCGACTGTATGAACCTGAGAGCTCAATAAAGGAAAAATAATGTAATATGCACCATAGTGTTGTGAAAGTCGTCCATATCCTGCAAGCGGCGGAACACAGACCACGCCTGTCCTCTGATGTGCTAGCTGAGTGCGGACCGTGAAGGCAGCATTAATGTGAGTCACATGACAGGCCAGCCTCTCGGACGGATCTGATACACATCTAATAATCATGGTAAGCGCTTCTCCTGATACAATATCATTCCATGCGTTTGCATGTGTCCTTCGGATATCCGCATGTGTGCAGTTTCGGTCAATGCAACAGCTAATGTCAAGTGTCGACCTCAAACTGATCTAAAATCAGACTTGTATGTGAGTGCTGCTATGGCCTAACGTCAGACAGAGGCTAGCTAGGCTAACATGCTACCAACTGTTTGCAAGAGAGGAGCTAGCTAGGTGTGTTACTTCCTTTATTTTATTGGCTGTGTCTGTAAGGTATTGCGCTGGTATTCGGCGTTGAACCAGTAAGTACAACCTCTTGACATTTCAGGGACAAAACGGCTGACAACTAACGCTAGCTGTTGTTAGCGCACTCTTCCGCTTTGCTGTGTCATATTTCACTGAGGCTAAATGTTGTTATGGCCTGAACTCGGTTCAGCGTAAACATTAGTAATTGTGTCAGCTGTCAGCAGCACTGTTCTGCCCAAGCTGCCAAAAAGCTAGCACACAAACACACACACACACGCACGCACACACACACGTATATTTCATACATGTTTACGTACATTCATATGCACGGATATAGTGCGAACATTTCTGCGCCAACCCCAAACATGCAGTTCCATATGATTTGCACTTTATTGGGAACTGTAGCGGAGTTGGGGGCTTGTTTTGGACAGCCAGGAAATAGAGGTCCTATTCAGGTTTTCCACAGGATATGGATGAAACGGGGGTTAAACTGTTGAAACATCCGTCCTAATACTAGATAAATACACTGAATGAAAACATTGGGAAGTATTGCAGGTCTCTGTCAGATTAAAGCCAGTACATTTGTCCGGTATGATGTAAGTTTATCTGATCGATCCGTGAAAAGAAGCAGACAGTATAATGTCATGTTCTGTTTTCAGTCCAGTCAACTGCTAACTTAAAGCTGCAGTAGGTCACTTTTTTTAAAAACAGCTTCTCACTCCCAGAGTGTAAAAGTGTCTGTATATGAAGCACTGGGAATGACACTCATACTCAACTATCTTCCTTGGCTCTGATTGGTTGCTTTCATTCAGGCCCGGTGGATTGTTTGCAGATGTCATTAGGAGCACTAGGAGGAGCCAGAGGAACCTGATTGTTTCACAGATTATTCATCTCATGTACTGCAGTCAGGATATAGTGAAAGTATTAGCAAATATGACGAACACATGTTTTTATTAAAATGACCTACTGCAGCTTTAAAGTAGATAAATGCAGCTATTTGAAATTCAAAGGTGATACTGTAATGTAATGGCAACATTAGTACATTCATCTAGGGCTGCACAATTAATCAAAATATTATCAAAATGGCAATATGGCCAAGTGTAATGTGTAATATGCAAACAGCAAAAGCTACAATTTAGGTCAAGCAAAGATTGAAATGAGTTGTTTCCATTCTCCTGGTATTACAGCCGACCACACAGCAGTCTCCCCAGGACGAACAGGAGAAGCTTCTAGATGAAGCTGTGCAGGCTGTCAAGGTCCAGTCGTTCCAGATGAAGCGATGCCTGGTAGGATTCATTTCAGTTGGTTATAAATATCATCATGGTTGTGATAATTGTTGAAACTATTGTTTCTCGACCCGGTTTTGTGTAATGCACCCCTTGTGATGAGGATTCTGTCATTCAAAACATTGTGTAATACTGGTATCAGACTTTTGAAAGCCTGCCTTATGGTCACTGGGCACATGCATACGATGCTATTCATCGTGAATGCAATAAAAACATTCAGAGAAACTGAAACAAAAATGCAATTACTGTAGTTTTTCATGACAGAAAATATAAGGTCTTTGTTTATGTTTACCTATAATCAAAAAATAAGTAGAGAGGGGTAATAACTGAGGAGGAACATATGAGGGAGAGTCTATTGGAAGAAGGCTGTTCATCCCTCCAGTAAAGGTTCACACACTTGGAGAATCTAGATGGAGGCTCATGGTGGAAGAGCCCATTGTCAGGATGCTTGTGTGTGTTAGATGTTTGCTCAAATATATTCCATACATGGGAAGCACTGTCCACCCTTTCATTTGTCAAAGATTAGGGGTTGTATTACATTTAAATCGGAGGGTAACTTGTTATTTGTGTGATATAATAGCTATAAAGTCATTTTTTCTAATTTTGAAATGTTTTTGTTGTGATTATTTTGTATGTCAATAACTCTGTTGTGCGATCTGCAGGACAAGAACAAGCTGATGGATGCTCTGAAGCATGCCTCTAACATGCTGGGCGAACTGAGGACCTCCATGCTTTCTCCAAAGAGCTACTATGAGCTCTGTATCCTTCATCTGTATGTTATTCATGTTGGAAATTGCATTGAGACAGATGCAAGACCATGTAATGACGCCTCACATAGCATTGCTGTGAAGATATTTTAACAGTGGACTGCTGAATCTTGTGTTAAATCTTACCCAAACCTGTAAGAGTGACCTGTCTCATAGAAAAGTTGCCTGTTTTTTAATCTTCCAACCCAAACTCTGTGGACCCGTCTGCACCATCCTGGATTCTAGCAGCTTTAAGCCAGGAAGACAACAAAGGACCGTCAAGACTGCTTGTCATTGACTGTCTGTAAATTCTAAATTCCTGAGAATCTTAAAGGGAAACTTTCCCATGTTTTTGTGTCAAAGCAGCTAGCAAGTTTTTCTATGCCTTTATTTGATAGACTGGAAGAGAGAGAGATGAGGGTGTGACATGCAGTAAAGGGCTGCATGCTGGAACTGAACCCGGGCCGCTGTGGCCAAGGAGGGTGAACCAGCTGCTGTAAGGCTTTGAAGTTCAGGAGACTGGTGGTGTTCCTATGGGTGCTGTGAGCCTATGCCCACAGAGGAGATTTCACAGACCAGATCAAGGGAAAGATACTGAAAACATCATGTTTTACTGTTTTGAGAATGACTCGTGGTGGCTCTGCATTGGTCCCTAACAGTATTTTCAGACATGGCCATCTCTGACGAACTCCACTACCTAGAAGTTTATCTGACCGATGAGTTTGCCAAAGGACGCAAGGTGGCAGATTTGTATGAGCTGGTCCAGTATGCAGGCAACATCATCCCCAGACTGTGAGTATCACCTTGACTGAACGTCAATCAAACAGAAAGTAGCTTCAGAAATTCCACCAATCTGCACACAACATATTTAATACATTGTAAATCATTCAAATGTTCAAGCTTTTAAATTCAGACTTATATTGCAGTGTGTATATTGCAGCACATAGGGCTACAGGCACTTGCTTACACATTAGCAAGGTCTCTGTTGCTTTGTTGTTGCTTGAAACTGAACAGAATTTCA